GTCATAGAAAAAGGAAATTCACAAGTAAATGGATAGAACTAGAAACAATCATCGTGAGTGAGGTAACCCAGACCCAGAAAAGAGAAACACTGCACGTTCTGTCTCTTAAATGGATGCTAGCTTTGAATTCTTAATCCACAGAGTTCAGAAAACTAGTAAAGGGCCACAGGGATGGGGCAGGGAGTTACGAATGCAGTGATATAAAGGGAGAAAGGGGAACAGTGGACTAGGAAGGGTTAAAAGGGGCTGGGAATGGGAGGACAGAGCAGAGCAGGAACTATGGGGAGGCAAAACAAACACTAAAGGCCTTTTGAAAAAGTCAGATGGAAACCTATCACTATAGAAGCTTCTTAAAAATACACACACAAGCTGGGTATGATGGCGCACACCTTTAGTCCCAGCACTTGGGAGGCAGAGGCAGGTGGATCTCTGTGAGTTCAAGTCCAGCCTGGTCTACATAGTGAGTTCCAGGCCAGCTGGGGCTACAGGGAGACCCTGTCTCAAAAAGACCCAAAACAAAACAAAACAAAAAACAACACACACACACACACACATACACACACACACACACACACACACACTATAAACACAGTTTAAATGGAGTTACCCTATTACCCTGCAGCAGTGGGACAATGCCCCTACCAGACACCATAGGCTGGCAAATAAAAAGCCCAATGCAAGGAATGGATTCCCTCTTTTGGAGTTGTTGACCAGGGCAGTACCAGAGACCCTCAAACAATACTGGTATGCCATTTCTCTCAATTATCTGCCAGAATTTGATGGTAAGACCCTATTGCTGAAGACACTACAGACATGAGTTATAGAACAAACAAGAAGAAATCAAGTTGGTACTGACCACCTCAAGCTTTGAATGCAAGGAAACCTTGTTATCTGGACACCACAGGGTAGTTGCACATATGAACCCACAACACTTGTGACAGCATGCACAAGTCCTGCTCAAGTTCCAGTCAGACAAAAACCTAGCTTGGGGCCGGGGGCGGGGGGGCAAGAAACCCTAGCTGAGGAAATGTTGGCAACTGATAGCTTCTAAGAGAGGTGGGGAGAAACAGTTTTCTTTAAGAGTGTGACACCAGGTAGGCTGACCAGGTATGAGGGGATGGACCCACATCCAAGAGTAATTTCAGGTCCACAGGCCTTCAAAGAAAAAAAAAAACAACCAATAACATTGAACATGAAGTTGGGGGGAGGTAGTAAGGTGGGGTGGACATGGCGGAGGTGGTCTGAATATGACTGAAACACATTCTATGAAATTCTGAAAGCATCAATAAAAATTTAAAAATTAGCACCTTAATACAAATTAAGTAGAAACATAAGTCATTAATTTATACAGTAAGTCAAGCAGCACACAAAAGTCTAACTATACCAGTAACCAAATAAAAGAAAATTAAAACCAACATAATTGAATTCTCCCTATACATTAAGGAAAAGATTAGAAAGAATGGGGCTGGAGAGATGGCTCAGTGGTTAAGAGCACTGGCTGCTCTTGCAGAGGACCCTGGTTTGGTTTCTAGCACCCACATGGTACTAACAACCATCCGTAACTCCAGGTCCAGGAGCTCTAACACCCTCTTCTGATCTCTATGAACAACATAGGTGCACTTACATAAATGCAGGCAATATACTCATACACATAAAATAAAAATAATAAAAATTTTTAAAAAGATCAGAAAGAATGTTCACACACTACTGGAGCACTCTCCTATGTTGATGAGGGCAGTGCAATATGGCCATAAGAAAATACATGAGCTGCTAGCAATAGTGGTGCACACCTACAATAATTAGTACTTGGGAGGCTGAGGCAGCAAGATGACCAGTCTGAGGTTAACCTGGGCTAAAACTAATAAATACAAATAAAAAACAGAAAATGCGCATGGAGCTATATAGTAAAATGAAAAAAAAGAGAAGTTTATTCAGTAAATATAAATTATCTAAATTATGGTAGTCCTTGAACAACTAATATCAAGCAGTTAAGATATTGTAGATATGTATTTACTGATAAAGTTGCATATAACAAATTGGAAACTAAAGGTTATAGTCGCTGCCTCACTGGTGTGTGCAGCTGGGCTCTCACCAAGGCCACCCTGTCAGGTTCCCCTGACTCTGAGCTGGCCAGGAAGGTCAAAAGACAGTATGTGCATGTGTTTACACTGGCTGTCAATTCTGACAGGCAGCAGATCAGAGGCTGTGAGGAAGCACCATGACACTGATGGTGCCAAAGTCAATACCCTGCTCAGGCCTCACAGAGAGATTTCACTCAGCTGGCTAACTACAATGCTTTGGATGTTGCCCAGAACTGGGATTGGCTAACCTGGGGGTGGCTGGTTAATTCCAAGTACTTTTTTTCATCATTAAAAGAAAAGTAAGATTGCCAGTTAATATTAAGATCCAATGTTGGGATGAAAAAAATGTCAGCAGTGTACCTCTGATATGTGAATTTTGTTTCTGCCTTTTTTTTTTTTTTTTTAAATGTGTATGAATGTATTGCCTGCATGTTAACTGAGTGCACCTGCGTCGTGCAATGCCGCAGAGGTCAGAAGAAGGATTCAGATTCCCCTGGAAGTGGAGTTAAGGATGGTTTGTAGCCGCCATGTGGGTGCTGGGAATTGAACCTGGGTCCTCTGTAAGAGCAGTCAGTGCTCTTAACCACTGAGCCATCTCCCCAGCCCATTTCTGCTTTTATTTTCTATTTCTTTCCCAGAAAAAACACATGTAACACAAATAAAGCACAGGCAAACAACTCACCAACTAAAATCCTTCATCCTGCACCTTCAGCCCTGCCTGGCTCTATCTTTACTGAACTCTCCATTTCCTTGCAGTTTCCCTCACCCCATCTCACTCATCTGAGGTTTGGTTTAGTATGCATATACTTTCCCAGAACAAATTTTCCCTGAGCTGTCAGTCATCATACCACCTTCAACCCTGCAGTATGGGTTGGGGGCTTTGCCAACAACCACACAGTGCTGAGCTCATACCACAGTGCTTGCTGTAGTAGGCTACACTAACACAAACTCAGGTCTATTTCTTCCACCACAGGCATAGAACCAGCATCCAGCAGGCATACAAATGAACATCTGCTGAATGAAAGGGCTGTATTACCGTATTCTGGTTCCTTTTAGCTTTTATTGCTGCTTTGAGCCATGACAAAAGGTTTTTTTATTATTATTATTTTGTTTATTATTCTTCCAGGAAGAATAAAGATGGACATTATCCATTCAGTTTCAGAAAGACCAAAAAGAATTCTAATGCAGGAAGATAGGAATAAAATATTCTCATTCCAAATCTGCCTTGAAATGGACGTTCTCATATGCTACCTACCATGTCTGATTCTTTTTCTTTTTCCCTGTGGTGCTGTGATGGGATCCAGGGTCTCAAATTATGCAAAACCAAGTACACTGTCACAGTGCACTCCCAGCCCTTCTACACATCTCCAGCTGCTGATGAAGAGCCATCTGCAAATGGTGTTGAGGAGTTTTCCTTCATACAAAGCACAGGATGGCACAGCCATCACTTCTACACACTCCCACAATGCTGGTCGCCTCAGTCGGAGGAAACTGCCATCTTACCTGCCAAGAACCTGGGCTCTGAGTCCTTCACCAAAACAGAATGCCTTTTGCAATTGATGGTGAGCTTTTTAACGGAGATATAAACTTCCTCAATATTTTAACACTCTAATTTTACCTTCTGAAAAGTTTACTTTCTCATTCTAACATTTTGAAACTTCCACATGCATTTGGATAGATGAAGCAACAAATGGTTTTAGAGACAGTGTGGAGAACATTAAGGATGTCTGATACCTAGAAATCTACTGTGCTAGGGAAAATGTGCTCTTCCTATGTGGGAGCTCTGGGGTCACTAGGTGTCTTCAAGATGCTTGCTGTCAGTGTGCAAACATACATTGTACATGAGAGATTAAGCACTTAAACTTCACAGCTCTCCCCTTCCCACCTTTTCCATTTTCAAGTGTGTAGGCAGTTTTCATGCATGTGGGCACGTGTGTGGGGGTGCACATTGCACATGTGGAGGCCCGAGGCTGATACTGGGATTCATGATCATAAATCTTCCACCTTATTCACTCAGCCAAGGTCTCCCAATCAAACCCAGAACTCACGGATATATCTAGTCTGGCTAGTCAAGTTTGCTCTGGGGATCCCCTGCTTCCATCTTCCCAGGCTAGAATTACAGATGGCCCAATATACCCACCCAGCATTTAGGTATTTACATGAGTTCTGGGGATCTAGACTCCAGTCTTTACCTTTCTGCAATAAGCACTTTAACAACTGAGTCACATCCCCAGCACCGCTTCACAGACTTCAGATATTCAAGGTAATTATTTCCTTACTACCCTCTCTTTCCTGTCCTTCAAATAAAATCAGCTTTTTGTTTTTGAGGTCTCAGCTATGCTTTGAGACAGAAGTGTTTCAGATTTTATATTTTTACAGATTTTATAACATCTTAAGTCTAAATAAATTCATTTGTATTTAATCTATATATTACACAAATAGACTCAGGGTAATTTTATACAATATTTTTATTTTATGTGTGTTTTGCCTACACATAAGGGCATGACATGTGTGTAATGCAGGCAGAGGCCAGAAAAAGGCATGGATCCCCCCAGAACTAGAGCTATGGATGGTTGTGAACTACCACATGGGTGCTAGGAACTGAACCCTTATCATCTGCAAGAGCAACAAGTGCTCTTAAGCTGTTGAGCCATCTCTCCATCCCCAATATATAGAATATTTCTAACAATTTTGTTTAGTGTTGGAGACTTTCCCCTGTAGCACTCAAAAAGCTTTAGATTTTAGAGCATTTCATATTTCAGGTTTTTTGAATATGGACATAACAAACAGTAGTGGAATTAGGTGAGTTCTTTGAAAAAAGTTCAACAAATCTTCATATCAAAATGTCCTTTTAATCTCACTTCTACTTAAGAACTTTAAAAGAAGATTCAAAACACAACAGAATAGGAATAAACATACCTGATCTTTTTCAAGTATAAGTATCTGGTAGCCAGTAGTTCTATTGCATATTAGCTTTCCACTACTATCGAAAGAAGCCAAGCGTAATCTAGAATTAAAAAAAATAAGCATGATTTTCAACCATAGATTAATCCAAGACTCCCTCACTCTAATATTTATTTTTCTTCTGTATTCTCTGTAAACCTTCTACTTATTTCTGTAGTGCTGTGGGTTGAATCCAGAGCCCAGGGCTTTGCATATGCCAGGCAAACATACTACCACCAAGGTACATCCCCAACCCTTGGTTTTTAGAAACAAGTCTCACTGACTGGCTTAGACTGGCCTTGAACCCGTGATCCTCCTGCCTCTACATCCTGAATGCTACGATTACAGGAGTGTGCTACCACATAAGGTTAGTCTTTTATGAAAGATTTTAGTCTTTTAAAAAAATTTCCCCACATTTTAATTTGTGTGTATGCATGTGTTATGTATGTCAGCACACATGTGCTACACAGTCAGATGTGTGAAGATGACAACTTTCAAGAATTGGTTCTTTCCTACTTGTGGATTCTGGGGATCGAACTCAGGTAGTCAAGCTTGGTGACAAGTGCCTTCATCCACTGAGCCATCTCACTGGCCCCTAGTCTTTTCAAAATGTAAACCAGCTCCATTCAGATTTCTAACTATTTTATAAAAATAATTTCTAAATGATTTTTATTGTGGCAAGATACACACAGCATAAAGTTTACCGTTTTCATTACCATCACCACCCATCTCCAGGGCATTCTCATCTTCCCCAGCTGAAACTCTCCCATTAATTAGTACTTTCCTTCCCTCAGGACTGGCAAGCACAGGTTTACTTTGCCTCTATAAACTTCTCTACTATAGGCATGAGTGGAAACACAATCACTGTCCTTTTGTGACACACTTTACTTCACAGGGTCTTTGTTGGAATTTCCTTCCTTTTTAAGGGTGATTACTTATTTCATTGTGTGTTATGTTACCACATTGTGTGTGTCCATTCATGTATCAAGATGCACAATAAGTTGCTTCCTCCCTTTGGCTACCATGAGCAAATGCCACCCAAGAGTATAAATATCTAAGTCTTTGCTTTCAACTCTATTGGGGAATACCCAGAAAGGATTTGTTGGGTCACACAGTACTTATTTCATTTATGCAAATAGTTTCGATTTGTACGGTGGCTGTACCATTTTATACTTGATTGCCAGAAGGGGACCAGGGTAATCATCTGTTCTAGTTTGTTTCTCCATTGCTGTGGCAAAATACTATGACCAATTCCAACTTGTGGAGGAAAGAATTTATTTGGCTTACATCTCCTGGATCACAGTTCATTAGGGAGCCCAAGGTAGAAATTCAGGGCAGGAACCTGGAGGCATGAGCTGGAGCTCAGGCCATGGAGCTGCTTACTGGCTTGCTCCCCTGACCCATGCTCAGACTTCTTTCTTATACAATATAGGTTCACCTGCCCAGGGGTGGGACCACCTAGTGGGCTGGGCCCTCCCACATCACTCAACAATCAAGAGGATGACCCACAGACATGGCCACAGGTCAGTCCAATGGAGGCAATTACCCAATTGAGGTGCCCTCGACCCACGTGTGTCAAGTTGACACTAAAGCTATCCAGCACATCATCCTATAGGATGCCCATCCTTGTTACTGTTTTGGATAAACGGTGTGGAACAGCATCTTACTGTGATTTTGCTTTACATATCTCCAGTGAGATATGTAAAAGATGAGATATCTCCATCTTTTTGTTCTTCTCTGAAGAATTTTTTCATGTGTTTGTGTGCAAGTAGAGGCTTGAGGCCAACACTGATTATCTTTCTCTACCATTAATTTAAAAAAAAATTTTTTTTTTAACTTTTACAAAAACTTTATTGAGAATTTCATATATGCATATAAGATGTTTTGATCAAATCCATGCCCACTCCCTCCCCTCCAACATTCCCCCCTCTGAAAAGGTAACCCTAAAATATTTTAAGGGTTAGATACGAGCTCCCAAATACTTTTGACAATTTTTTGCCTTTGGAACAGAGTGTGTTTCTAAGAGGCCCAAGGACATTTTGACTCTTAGCCAGGAAACTGGCTACATTTCTTTGCGGTCTTTTTACCCTAACTGCCTAGCCAATTCCTACCTCCTTACTGTTATCACACCATCCTCTGAAGGGGTTACCCAAATTGCCAATAGGAAATCTGGACGCAGACCACTCTGGCTTTTTCCATGCTGAACAGGGACGCAGGGTGAGGCAACTGGAGTACCCCTTCAGTGGGTCTATCTAAAAGACTCCCAAATTGCATAACTTGTCTCTAAGGGGAAAAGAAAGCCCTTGAATCATGAATAGGAGATGTGAAGGAGAAGTAAAGGCAAAAATAATTAGCATTACAAGTTCTAGACAAGGAACAAGGAAAAAGAACAGGGCAATTTTCAAATGTTCATGTGGGAGTTTCTTTTGTAATTTTTTTTTTTTTCTGGTCTTTTTGAGACAGGGTCTTTCTATAACCCCAGCTGCCCTGGGTTAAAGGCATGTGCCACCACGCCCGGCTCACTTTATTTTTAATTTCTTAACAATTATTTTATGTGGGGCTGGAGTGATGGCTCAGTGATTAAGAACACTGATTGTTCTTGCAGAAGACCTGGGTTTGAATCCTAACACCCACATGGCAGCTAACAACTGTCCATAACTCCAGTTCCAGGGGATCTGACAGCTTCTTCTCTCCTTTGCAGGCATTGCAAAACATGGGTGCACTTACCTACATGCAGGCACAATACTCATACACATAAAAATAATATTTATAAAAATTATTTTGTGTATGAGTGTTTTGCCTGCATGTAAGTGTACTTGTGTTGAGCAATACCTATGGTGATCAGAAGGTATCAGATCCCCTGGAACTAGAGTTATGGATGTTTGTTAGATGCCATGTGGGTTCCGGGAAGCGAACCCTGATCCTTTGCAAGAGCAGCCAGTGATCTTAACTGCTGAGCCATCTCTCCATCCTTCTACCTTACTTTTTCAGACAAGGTCCCTCACGAAACCTGGAGCTCACACATTTGGCTATGCAGGCTGGCCAGCAAGCCCTAATGATCTTTGTGTCTTGCCTCCCCAGCACTGACATTATAGATATACACCACTGTGCCCAGCCCTTATGACAATGCTGGGGAGTCCTCATGCATATGTGGCAAGCACTTTGCTGAGCCATCTCCCCTAGTCCTTTTGAGAAATTTTATGCAAGCTTTTGGTGTTTTGTGATTTGCTGGGTATGAGGGACTAAACCCAAAGTTTTGTGCATGTTCCATAACTGTTTCACCACTGCCTTTGTTATTTTTAATCCAGAACACACACACACACACACAACTTTCTTTGTTTTGAGATGGGACTGTGTAACTAGTCTCGAACAGCTAGAACTATATCCCCCACTGGCTGTTTTCTATTCTATTGTAGATTTTTGGCCCTCTATGTACTTCAAATGCTAACTCTTATCAGAGAGCTGGTTTATTTGCAAGTGTTTTCTCCAGTCCTGTGTCCTCTGATGCATACAGTTTCAATTCTGATGAAATCCCCCTCAATATTTGTGCATCTGCCATCATGTCAAAGAAGTCAGCACCAAATCAAATGTGATAAAGCCTTTGCCCTGCCATCTTCAAGCTTGCTACAGTTTTGGGTCTTAATCAAATTCCTTTGAGTTTGAACTTTTTTAGACAGGGTTTCACGATGTAGCCTTGAATGGCCTGGAACTCGCTATGCAGACCAGGGTGGCCTCAAACTCACAGAGATCTACCTGCCTTGGCCTCCCAAGTGATGGGATTAAAGGCATGCCCCACCACCCCTGTCACCTTTGAGTTAATTTTGCAAATGGCATCATTCAGCTACTTTCATATGTCAGCTCACAGCACTGTTTCCAGGAAGAGAACACCAGCTGACTTTTAGGAAGAACTGGATGTAACCTAGGTGCTTTCCTGTTATATGTTAGCTGAGACATTTTACTAGCTACGAATGCAGCAGGATGAATGCTTCCGGGACACAATCAGCCCTCCATTACCCCATCCCAGCTGTTCATTCTAATATTCTAGACCCCTTGATCCTATTAAAACACATTCACAGGAATAGTCTTCTTACTTCTGGGACCTTCCCATACACTGTATCCTACCCAAGTCCTAGATCTTGTTGGTGATCAAGGTCTTATTTCATTTTTTACCCTTCCTCTGGCATGAGGAGTGGGGGTGCCATCCTACCTAAATGCTATGCTCCTTCGAGGCTGTAAACTGACAGATCCACTATACGGCTGATTCAGTGTATTGCGTTTGAAAATGATGTACCGATTGGTATACGTCACAAGGAGGTCAAAGCCGAAGTTAAAACCTGTCCACCGCCAGCAGTACTTTAGAGATAAAAAAAAAGAGATTCATTTCAATTTATCACATTAGCAAGTCAGAGATAAAAAGTTAAAAGTTTTTTTCCCACTCCCTCACTCCAAGTGTCTGAAAAGGAAATCACTTTCAGTCAGTGCCTCTCCTGGAAGGCGCTGCTCAAAACATCAGCCCTGTACTACAGACTTGGCTGTATCCTGTACCTCCTTTGCACTGCAGTCCCATCCAAGGAAACCAGGTCTCCCACTGAAGTTATGAGCAGGGACAGCTTGGGTACCAAGCGTCCAGTGGAGGTCACTTGGCTTTAAGAGCACTCTAAAATGCCTTAACTGAACACCAGACACACATAGGCTACCTTAGATACCATCTCTGCAGCTAATAGTTCCAGAGAGTGAGGTAAGGCAGTGTGGTAGGAATAGGTAAAGTCAGGATTCCAGCGTTTCATTGACAACAACCTGAATTACAACAGTAACTCAATATTTAACTGATACGTGCTGAGCATATATTGTATGACAGAAACAGTTCCAGGAAGTGGAGATATAGCAGTAAATAAATTTCCACCCTAGATGAATTTATATGCTACTCTGTGAATATGTTTATGTGGTGGGAGAGAGGATGAATACATATGAATAGAAGAAGAAGAGAAGGAAAAGAAGGTCAAGAGAGTAACAGGAGAGAGGAGGCTCACAGCTGGTGATCAATGTACAGAGGGGCCCAGGGAGCCTTTGGAAGGAGGCTGGGTCAAAGAGCAGACTGGGGAGCTGATTGGGAGGGAATATAACAAGTCCAAAGTTCTGCAGGTGAAAGCATGCCTGTTCTATCAGAGGGACAGCAAGAAGGGCTCTATGGCTAGTGCAGGAGTAAACAGGACAGAAACTGGAGATGGGTTCCCAGAGGCAGTCAGGGAACAAAAAGGTCTAGTCCCTGGTAAAGAAGAGTGTGGGAGACTAATGGAAGACTTTAGGAAATCATATCATACACACCAATGGAGTTAAAAAATCATTCAAGGTATAGAGTAGAGAGCTAGAAAGATGAAGAGAAGTGAAAGCTATAAATGGGACACTTAAAATGGAAATTGTGAAGGTAGCTGTCATCAGTGGAATGAATGCCTGGGTAGGGAGGAATACAAAATCACTGGGGAGGGAGGGTCAGTAAATGGACATTGGAACCATCAAGCCTTCAAACCAGAGCAGTGCTGAGACAGTGAGCCCCAGGGGTGATAACAGTACAAGTAGCAGGTGATGCACTCAAAGCATCTGCATTGAAGGAGCTGTGGTTCAATAAGGGATGAAGCAACAAGATAAGCAATGGAGAAGACAACCACTCTTCCTTCATACTCAACGCTTAGCACAACCCTGAAGGCAAGCATAAAATAACTTCAGAAAAAGTGAAAACAGGGGTTGGAGAGATGGCTCAGTGCTTAAGAACACTGGCTGCTCTTGCAGAGGACCCAGGTTCAGTTCCCAGCACCCACGCGGCAGCTAACAACTATCTAGCTAACTCCAGTTCGAGGGGATCCGACACCATCTTCTGGTCTCCACAGGCATTATACAACACAGGCATACTTAAATACATGCAGGCAACACACTCATACACCTAAAATAAAAATAAACAAAAATGAAAGAAAATTTGGAAGCAAAAGAACCAGATGAGTATCTAAATTAGGCTGAAATTTGAAGATGAAAATGACAGGTAGGCTGTAAAATCAATTTAATGGCCCATAATCAGATTTTTAGAACAATATAAAAGCCGGATTCTCTGGAGACAGCAAGGGAACTTTCCTTCTTTCACTCACACAGATGCATACTCCTCAGGAAAGAACAAAGGCAATCCTTGGTGTGGGAAGCATCCCAAAGATGACTTTGACTTAGGGTAACTGTCAGAACTACATTAAAACTATGTAACAGCTCATGATTGCTATGTAAAATGTACTACACAATCAGGAGTTCCTAATCAGGAGGATATTTGTTGTTACTTTTTTGGGTTTTTTTTTTTTTCTTTTTTTTTGAGACAGTTTCCCTATAGCCACAGCTGGCCTGGAACTTGCTATGTAGACCAGGCTGGCCTTGAACTCAGAGAGAGCCTGCCTGCCTCTGCCTCTGCCTCCTGAGTTCTAGGATTAAAGGCATGTACTACCATGCCCAGCCCTGTTGTTACTTTTTAACTTTTTTTTGTCTTTTTGAGACAGGGTCTTCCTGTAGCCCCAACTGTCCTGGAACTCACTATGTAGACCAGGCTGGCCTTGAACTCACAGAGATCTGCCTGACTCTGCCTCCCGAGTGCTGGGATTAAAGGCATGCGCCAACATAACTTTTATTTTTAACTATTTTGAGGGGTATGTTCCAAGGTAAGTGTGTGGAGGTCACAGGACAACTTGCAGGAATCAGTTCTCCTTCTACCGTGAGAGTATGGAACTGAACTTAGGTCATCTAGTTTGGCAGCTACTGCCTTCATATGATGAGCCATCTCGCCAGTCCACTTTTTTCAATTACAAAAAAAAAAAAAAAAAAAGGAGCAAACCCATGAAAGCAGAGAAAATGGTGCAATGAAATAAATTTTCTCAGTTGAGAACATCAAGGAACAAGCATACTCACTTCACCATCTTTGGCGAGCTTTCTGCCACACCTCATGCTATTTCCCTCCAGCTCTTCTTTATTGATTTCTTGCGGCCTAGAACATAAGACATGAGCTTTCATAGAAAACAGGCAACTAGTAATTGAAAAAGAACTGAGTTTACAACAGAAAAATTTGCTATTAGCTTTAAAAAGAATTTTTTTGGGTATAGATAAAAATAATGTATTGGGCTCTAGGTATAGCTCAGTGATTGAGGGCTTGCCTAACAGGCACCAGACCCTAGATTCAAACTGAGCACTGACAAAGAAAAAGAAAAGGAAAAGGAGAAAATATGCTCATTAAATTAAGTTCATTACTTTTGTGAAGACTCAAAATCCTCAGATGCACTTTTTGCCCTATTAGATTAATTCTTACGAAGCTTAGCCAAACCAGGGAAGAGAGAAAAATATCTATGAGAAATTCTGTATACCAGGAGCATATAATACTTAAAAGGTCTTAACTACTTAGTAAAAGAAATAAAAGCCCATTTATCTGGGATATAACAGTGTTACCTTCTCTGCACTCGTATGGTTTTGGAGACAAGATCTTGCTGTGTAACCTAAGCTGTCTTCTAACTTATGATCCCTCCTGCTTTAGCCTCTAGAAGGCTGGAATCACAGGCATGGACCACCACAGTGGCTCACTGCCTACTCCTTCATAGCACTTATTTCAAGTACAAACCATTTTTCATAGAGTACAATGCTACAAGATCAATTACCTCATAGGAAAATGCTGTATAATTTATTACTCTTCAGTTATTTCCTTAAAATCAGCTATGAAGCTGGGGATCCTTAACATCTGAGTGCTTAGCTAACAGAAAACTAGACAGAATAAATGTAACCATGTGGAAGAGGTGTCACAAGAGACACATCGGAAGACAGAAGGGAGGGAGGATCACAGAGCAAAGGTTATTTTTCACCTGAGTGCTTGCTGGGCTAGACGGAACGTGCTTTCTTTGAAGGGGGAAGGAATAGGCACAAAATCAACATTCTTTTTTGGTAAGAGGGTTGGGTTTTTTGAGACAGGGTCTCCCTGTAGCCCCAGTTGGCTTGGAACTCATTATGTAGACCAGGCTGCCTTCAACACAGAAATCCACCTGCCTCTGCCTCCAGAGTGCTGGGATTAAAGGTGTGAGCCATCATGCCTGGCTCCATTATTTCTTTTTTATTTAATGAATGTTGAACAGATAAAGAATTTAGTCAGCTGGAGCATAAAATGCTTGAGAAGAAAGCAAAGGCATGTGGGGCAGGCTGAAGGTTTCCACAGGCCACGCTATAAGCTTCTCCCGCATTCTCAGACATGTGCTCTCTAACTGTTAAACTTTTTACTATTAAAATTGAAAGTATATGAAAGAAGAGAAAACAGTACTATGAGCCAAATGTTTTCATCCTCTGACCTCAGTAATCTTTCTGAGGAGCAACCTCAGCTAATCAGATTCAGGAGGCATGTTTAAACAGAAGTGACAGACTACATTTCTGTTTTAAAAAGACAATCCTAGCTGGGTGTGGTGGCTAATCTCAGCACTCAGGAGGCAGAGGTGGGTTGATCTCTGTGAGTTCAAGACCAGCCTGTTCTACATAGTGAGTTCCAGGCCAGTTGGGGCTATAGGGAGACCCTGTTTCAAAAAGACCAAAATAAAAGAAAGACAATCCTAGTCTGGACAAGGACCTTGGAAGGAGGCTTTACTAGATTATATGACTACAAAAATCTAGTGTATTCACTTTGGCAGCCCTGCAGTGGATAGATGCCAATGAGACAAGGCGGCACAATTACAGAGCATAGTCACATACTTTCCTTTTCCTTTTTATTGCAGTGCTAACAATTAAACTTAGGGCCTCACACATGATAGGTAAGCACCACTCTATAACTGAGCTGTGCCCACAGCCAGTATCATCACCACTGAGTTCAAGAAAACCAGATATATACTATAGCTACCTCTTAGGTAAGAAAGATAAAGTTGAAAGAAACTCAAGAAAGAGCATCTGGAGAGATGTCTCAGAGGTTAAAAGTGCTTCCTGCTCTTGCAGAGGACCTGAATTCAGTTCTTAGCACCCATGTCAGGCAGATTACAATCATCTCTAACTCCAGCTCTGGGGGATCCAATGCCCTCTTCTGGTCTCTGCAGTCATGCACACATATGTGGTGCATGCTCCCGTGCATACACATTCCCACACCCTCACATAGATATTTATGTAAACATAAATAAAATTAAGTTAAATCTTAGAAAGTCCAAAAGTCCAAGCTGAGAACACAAGCAATGTGGTGTGACTGTAAACTGCTTTATGAAGTACAAATGCATCAGGTCTGACTCCCACTAAATCATTGACTCAATTTTTTGGCATTTTATTTTTCTACATCAACAATTTAATTGTATTAATGCTAGTAAGAATTCTATATATACTTGAATGTATTTGGTAAAAGATGAAATTATAAACAAAACAAAAATTAAAACCCCCAGTAACAATCACCTGTGAGTATCCAAATTTATGGACCATTTTCATATACATACTGTTTGGACAGAAACTTATAATTAGGCTATTATTTTTATGAATTGTTTGGTGCTTGAAAATGGGTTAAAAAGAGATGGGGGCAAAAATCACTTTTTAGGTCTTGTCTGTATACCCGGAGAAAAAAGGCAGTGTCTCTCTCTCCCTGTCTATCTCCAGGGGCTAGCACATGTGAAAGAAATTCTGAACTACAAAGCATAAAAACAATGAAAATGACTGTCTTTCCTTCACAATGAAGAAAATGCATAAATATTCACATGCTTTAGGGAGGGCAACTAGAATCAGACAACTTTAACTCATTTTGTTCAAAGACCTTCAAAACCTATTTATCAACCATAATTGGACAATATGCCACAATAGGAAAGTTAGCTTTATCTACACATAAATATAAAAAGCATGCTTTCTAGAAGAATTATTCCAAATAATATGTCAGTATGTTAATGAATGATTTAAAAATTCCTAGCAATCATGATGTGAGGTAAAAGCAGTCTGCTTGTGTAAAATGCCGTCCATCAGGAGCTGGAAGCACAGGTGTGTTGCAGGCAGCACCGACAGCAGTTCTTCTGACATAAACCTTAAAGAGAACTCATCAGGGAAAGCAAGCAACTGGTGCTTTATTGCTTGAAGGTGCCTTGAAGAACGCTCCTGCACTCAACACTTCGTGCTCACAAGCTTTCTCAAAATCACCTAAGATTTTTCAGCTTTCCTTTCCCTTCAATCCTCTTCTCTACTTCACTTTTGCTAGGTAACCGTGATTATTCTAATTTCATTTCAGGTTACATCGTTAGGAATCTTCACAATTCAATGTTTGTATTTTGTTGATTATACTGTACATATACCACTGAATTAGCTATTAATGTATCCAATATTTACAATCTTGCCCTATGATGAAAAAGACAACTGTTGACTTCTAATAAATGTTTCTAAGTAGCTCCACTAAAAAAATAATAAAAATTCATAGCAAAATTTTTATTTATTTTGGACTAGGGACTCTGGTATTTAGCTTAGCACATGCTAGGGTTCAATCCCTAACAGTCCAAAAGCAGTAACATGATGTAACATACTTACCCCACTTCACTGTCTTGTTCTGCCCGCAGCATAGCAAGCCATTGCTGTTTATACACTGAAGACAGCCATTCTAAAGGAGAAACATTAACAAGTAGTTAAAAGAACTGTTATTTTTAAATTTATGTTTAAAACATCAATTTAAGAAGCAGGTAGCTTATATTTTACAAATACGCTGTAACAACGTGGCTTACAGCTCTTTAACATGGTGAAGAACATCAAGCTTTGCCTCAGATTAGAGGACTTAGATAAATCCCTTGGTCAAAAGCTTGTGCTTGGACTCAAACGAGGTAGGGCAGTAGGTAGAGGCAGGACGACCTGGAGTACGAGGCCAGCCAGGGCTACTTAGGAACAACCCCTAGCCACAAAAGAAAAGAAAAAAGCATAAGCTTGCATTTACGCTTTCTTACAGCGCACATTAATTTTTCATTTGTGAATATCATTGCAAAGAGTGTTTTCAGTTTTTCTAAAAGTTCTACTGCCAAACCTAATAATAGATTTTTCATTTATTAAATTATCTAAGTCAACTGTGGTAACACATGCCTCTAATTCCAGCACTTGGGAGTCAGAGGTAGCCAGATCTCTGTGAGTTCAAGGCCAGTCTGGTATACATAGTGGGTTGTAGGTTAGCCGATGCTGTATATTGAGAGAGGTATTGGATGGATTTTTAACATATGCGAACTATGTGACTGCTTGGGGAGAGCAGAGGGTAAATCATGCATCTGAGTTCTACAATGTGGAAGAGAAATTAGAGGTCAGGAGAAAAAAGAAACAGGGTCAGATAGTAAGCAGTACTGGCAAATGCTGGGCCTGAGATCACTGCAGTGTGAGAGGTGAGGTCCTCTACAAAGAGAAAAGAGCAACTTCCAGGAGAACTAAATGAGTGAAGAGAGGAGATTTTGAGATTTGTTGATCCTGATTCCAGAGAAAATAACAAAGGTTTGGGAGGCATGGGGATAAGACATGATGAAAGTGGAGGACGTGTGAGAGAGAATATGGAGTAAGACATTGAGTGAGATGAGCTGAGATCAATCTAAGTTCATGAAATAATGGAACTCAATTGTGCCTAAGATTTTGAGGTCTGTCTGTCACTTCCTCCCTCTGCTGGGGATGGACATTTGAGTTCTTTGAAAGATAAACAAGAGCTCTGCCCCAAGCTATCCCCTGGCCCTTAGTTTACTTCTCACGTGGCACACTTTACTACTGAGAGCATACAATAATCTATGTGTACAACATGAGCTACGTGGCACTTTTTGCCTCTTTGCAAAAAGTGCCACATTTAATTTTAACTATATTCTGTTTTTATAAAACTGCAACTTTTCTTTGAACATACAGAAAAAATATGTTTATAAGATATAATAAAATTGTTAAAGTCTTCTTATATCATTAAAAAAAAACCCTGAAATCTACCCATAAGTCTGAATTCTTTTTGATTTTATACCAAATAAAATACTTCAGACTCTAGATGCTTGTATCATCATGCCCTCCAGAGTCACAGAGCTTGTTCGCCTGCATCCAGACACCCCTAAAGTACTTCGGCAGACAGTTTTACAAACTCTAAAACTCATTTCTGAAGAGCCTTAGAGGAAGCCTGACTGGAATAACAGATGTAATGGGCTGTGGCATCTAAGATTATACCTCTGCCTGGTATTTGCACACACAAAACTAAGGAGTGGTTGCACTGCCGTTTCTTATATGCTTGTATGTTACTAAGATTTTTTTTTTTTACAGTGCTGCATATATAACCTAGTGTTCTTAAGCATGCTGGGCAAGTGCCCTAATGTGCACATAGACTACTAAAGGCAATCTGTCATACAGATTTAACTTCAAAAAAGAATTAGTAGTTGTTTCAAAAGATTTAAATTACAATGAATAGATATATTTGATTCCAAACATTTAAGAATTTAGAATAAGAAGTCTTCTTATACACCAAAAAAACACACCGAGAAAACAGGAAACAAGCCCATCCATGATAGTCTCAAAAACCATAAAATATCTTAGAATAACTCTAACCAAGGAAGTGAAAGACCTGTTGAACAGGGGTGGTTTGAATGAAAATGTCTCCCATAGGCTCCAAGTATTTGGACATTTTGTCCCCAGATGGTAGTGCTATTTTGGGAGGTTGTAGAAGGTGTGGCTATCCTGAAGGAAGCACGTCACTGGGGGTGGGCTTAGAGAGTTCTTAAGCCTTGCTGGATCTCCAGTTGCTCTCATTTCCTGTGCCTGCTGGAAGATGTAGAGCTTAGCTTCTGCTCCTCCTCTAGCCACCTCTGCTGCCATGCCTCCCTGCCATGAAGGACTGTAATTCCTTCACCATAAGCTCAAATAAACTCTTCCTTCTATATATTGATTTGGTCAGTGTTTCTACCACAGCAACAAAAAAGTAACTAATATACCTATTTAATAAAAAAGTTTTTTCTTTTTCTTTTTTTTTTTTTTTTTTTTTGAGACAGGGTCTCCCTGTAGCCTCAGCTGACCTGGAACTCACTATGTAGACCAGGCTGGCTTTGAACTCACAGAGGCAAGCCTGCCTCTACCTCCTGCTAGGATTAAAGGCATGCACCACCATGCTGGGCCTGTAATAACAATTTAGGCTAGGTGTTGCCTAATTTAATCCCAATGCTAGGGAGGGGAGGCAGGTGGATCTCTGGGAGATTGAGGTCAGCCTGGTATACAAAGTGAGTTCAAGGCCAGCTGTGACTACAGGGAGACCCTGTCCCCCGCCCCCCCCACGCAAAAAAATACCAACAAAAATCGCCCCCAAAACTAAAACAAACAAAAACCTGTGAAAATGGCCACCATACCAACAGCATTCTACAGATACAACACAATACCCATTAAAATTCCAACATAATTCGCCACAGAAATTGAAAAAAAACCCTCAAATTTCGTATGAAAACACAAAAAAACGCAGGATAGCCACAACCATCCTGAACAATAAAAGACCTGCTGGCAGCATCACCATCACCAATCTCAAATTATGCCACAGAGCTATATAGTAATAAAAACAGCACAGTACTCCCATAAAAACAGACACACTGATCAATAGAACAGAACTGAGGCCCCAGATTTAAGTCCATGTACTTGCAGCCACTTTTTTTGACAAAGGGGCCAAAAATACACATCAGAGAAAAGACAGCATGTTTGACAAATGCTGCTGGTCAAACTGGATAGTTACATGTAGAAAAATGAAAATTCAATTCCTATCTCTCAACATACACAAAACTCAACTCCAAATGGATCAAGAACTTCAACATAAGACCTGATACCCTGAATCTGATAGAGGAGAAAGTAGGGAATACACTTCAATTTATAGGTACAGGAAAGGACTTTCTGAACAGGATTCCTACAGTATAAGCATTAAATCCAATAACTGACAAACAGGACCTCATGAAACTAGAAAGCTTTTGTAGAGCAAAGGACATTATCATTCAAGTGAAGAGGCAGCCTACAGAATGGGAAAAAAATCTTTACCAGTTATACCTCCAGGGTATATATCTAGAATATTTAGATTGAGGGTTAATATCTAGAATATATAAAAAACTAAACATCAAACAACCCAATTAAAAATTGAGGCAAGAATTAAACAGAGTTCTCAAAAGATGAAATGCAAATGGCTGAGCAATATTGTTTTTTAAAGTTCAACATTTTTAGCCATCAGGGAAATGCAAATTAAAACCAGGTTGAGATTTCATTTCATCCCATATTATCTTATAATGATGTTAAGGGCCAGTTCATTAAGGAGTTATTACTATTGAATGCATAAAAGTCAGGCACTGTGGGGCTGGAGAGATGACTCCGTGGTTAAGAGTGCATACTGTTTTTGCAGAGGACCGAGTATAACTCCCAGCACCCATATGAGGTTGATCACTTGGGCATATTCCCAAAGGACTCTATATCCTACTACAGAGATACCTGCTCATCCATGTTCACTGCTGCTCTATTCACAAGACCTAGGAAATGGAAACAACCCATTCATCAACCAGTGAACAGATAATGAAAAAATGACACATGATACAATCTTATTCAGTCATTAAGAAAAACAAAATTATGAAATCTGCAGATAAATGGACGAAACTGGAAACAATCATCCTGAGTGGGGTAACCCAGACCCAGAAAAACATTTCTCTCTGGTAAATGGATGATAACTTTGAACCCTTAGATATGTATGTTTTCAATTGGAAAATCCAAAGAGTTCAGGAAACTGGTAATGAGCCATGGGGGGGTCGGAGGATTCCTGGGAAGGGAGACAGAAAGCAGTGATACAAAAGGGAAAAATGGAGTAGAAAGGGTTAAATGGGGTTGGGGATGGGAGGGCAGGGCAAGGAGGGACTATGGGGAGGCATAAATAGCACTAAAGTCCTTTTGAAAAAGTCAGATGGAGCCGGGCGTGGTGGTATGTGCCTTTAATGCTAGCACTTGGGAGGCAGAGGCAGGCAAATCTGAGTTTGAGGCCAGCTGGGTCTACATAGCAAGTTACAGGCCAGCTGGGGCTATAGGGAGACCCTGTCTCAGAAAGAGTCAGATGGGAACCACCACAATAAAAGCTTCTTAAAGTACATACATACACAATATGAAAAGATTAAATGCAGTTACCCTATAAAATAAATAATAGGGGTATATTGCTCCTACCAAGTACCAAAGGCTGGCAAATAAAAAACCCAACGCCAGGCATGCACTCACTCTTTTTTTAATATGTATAAGTGTATTGCTTGTAAGTATGTAAATGCACCTGTGTTGTGCAATGCCCATGGGGGTCAGAATAAGGCATTAGATTCTCCTGGAACTGGGGTTATAGATGGTTGTTAGCTGCCATGTGGGTGCTAGTAATTGAACCCCAGTACTCTGCAAGAGCAACCAGTGCCCCTAACCACTGAGCCATCTCTCCAGTCCCACAGATTCCCTCTTCTGAAGCTGTTGACCAGAGGTCTTATAAATCCTCAAACAATTGTAGCCATGGCCCCCCGCTCTTGGTTACCCATCCACCAGAACTTGACGGTAAGACCCTATTGTTAAAGACACTACATGCACAAGTTGTAGGCCCAAACACAAAGAGAAATCAAGCTGGTACTGACCTCTACTGGCTAGCTTTCATACTGATAGAAGGTGCTATGCATGCTACTGAAGAAAAACCTTACCCAGGTTTGAATCCTGTGAGCTACATGAACAACTGGCCTGGCAAAATATGCCCACTGGTAGCATGAATGCTATATAAATAACCAACCATTTTTTGGTTGGATTTAAGGTCCGCTTCACAAGTTAGAGCTCAGAGCCCATACCTGACACTGTTATCAGGCCTAGAAACCTGTGGTTAGACAGTCACTGCCATAAGGGAGAGCCTACTATTCTGCTAAAGAGACACATTGTTTAAATGACTCCTAGTAACTTACTGTTATACTCATATACTAATGCATCTCTGAACTTTCACCAGAGAAGCTGCCCTGCCTGTGCAACTAATAGTGATTAACACAGAGATACACAACTAATAAATATGCAGAGAATAAGCGACTGAAGATTGTTTAGCCCTGAATAGGACACCTATATCAAACCCCTGCTTCCCAAATTTCCAGAATCATTGTGGAAGAGGACTGGAAAGATTCTATAAGCCAGAGGTAGGGGATGACCACAAAGATACTGTTTTCTAGACAGCTGGGCAGTTACTCATATGAACTCACAACAATGGTAAGAGCATGCAAAAGTTTAAGCCAGACAAATTCACTGCACAGAGCTGTGGAAGTGGGGAAGAAGCCCCAGTCCGAGCTCAGAACTATTCATAATTGACAGCTGCTGGGAGAGGGAGAGCCAATTTTCTCTAAGGGTATGATGCTGGGAAGGTTGACCAGGCTTCAGTGGGCATTTGGAGACACAAATTAGATAGGCCTTTAAAAATAAAAGTATATATATAAGAAAACACATAAAATTGGGTGGGGGGCAATAAGGGGAGATGGCGACTAGAAATGGGGGAGGGAGTCTGAATATGATAAAATACATTGTATGTAATTCTCAAAATTTCAATAGAAATATTTTTTTAAAAAAATTGAGTGTAAGAAAAACAAGAAAACACATCAAGTCATTTTTAAGACTCTTCCAAAACAGTGTATTGGTCAACCAACCTGTGGCACACCAGTGCTAGGCTTGGGTATGTTCTTGCAATGACAGCACTCAAGAGGCTGGAGCAGGGGCATTAAGAGCGTGAGGCTAGGGCTGAGGACACAAGTTTACTTATAGAGCACTAGCCTAAGAGGCGCACAAGGCCTTGGGTTTGATCACCAGTACAGAAAAGTATACTACAAAATGCTACCTAGCCATTTAAATACTGTGAGAGTATTTTAATGAAACATGACAAGGGAAAGCACAGTTATTTATATGCTGATTCCCTTGGGCATAAAGATATGTACCTTTGTGGACTAAGGGTGACTTCCTGGTTTCTTCATTAGTCTTCTCTATGATATATATGAAATGTTATAATCAGAAAAACATGACTTAAATCACAAACTCTCATGCTTTCTTACCTGAAGGTACTAGAGAATCTTGCTCAATAATCCTTGCAGAAGCCAGATCACTAATAATATACTGCAGCCTTAAATGTCTGAATACAGACACAAATGGTTTTCCTTGTTCAGTTTCAAGAAAGGTCGTCCCTTCAAAATCTATTAAAGAAAGTTTTAATTAGACATTCTTGTTAAATGTGCTGCTTTATTCATAAATGTTTTTATGGACAAGGACACATAGAGTCTGTTAGAATGCAAATAAGCTACTTTCAAGGATTTCAATAATTTTATGAGGGAAACAGAGAAACTGAAAAATCTCCCAAATTGATTTTGGTCCTAATCAGACCCTTGGGCTGGGAACACAGCTATTCTGGGCAGTTGGCCTTATAGTTTATCAAGGTAGGTGAGGTGTTATTGAAAAGTAATTAGGGTGACACTGTCTCTGGAGAATCCATTCCCAAGGCCAACATGCCAGAGAACCTGGAGGCCAAACAGTTCACGTGAGAGTCCTACATGATGACCAGGACAGGGACAGCTCTCCAGTTTTCCTACTTATACCAGTGGTAAACATTAGTTAACATATTCTCTACTAAAATACCAAATAAAATATTACTGTAGATTTGCAACCCATGAGCATTATTAATTACTAAAATAAATTCAAACTTATAAAGTATATAATTTTTTTCTCTTAGGGAAAATTTAGTATTTCTAAACATTACTTACTTGCATTCCAAAGTACTCTTGTGAATGGGAAGGAAACACCTAGGTTACTGTTATCAACAGGAACTTGTGCATAAGCTTTAGTATGTTTCTTATTAAACAAGGCATACCTACTGGGATATGTTCAGCCTATTGCTATTAAGGAGAGATGAGAGGTGCCATTACACAGATTCTGCATCTCAAACCCAACTAGACAGGTGTTCTCCACTAAAATACTTTCCTGAAAATTGCAAAAACACAACTAATGAAAACAATTTTCACTTTTTTTTCTTGAGACAGGATTTTACTATGTAGCCCAGGGAGCTCTGGGTCCTCCTGCCTCAGTCTCCAGACTGCTGGGATTGGAGGCCTATGCCACCACACCCAGCTCTCAAATGTCTATCTCATACATTCTTTTGTATTCCTATGCTATATTGGCAAGAACCAAGGACAGCAAATAAAGTAGTTCACTCACTGGAAAGTTAATACTTACCTTTGCTTATGCACAGACAGGAGGCACGTGACTAAGTTTGCACCTTTTGCCTTCCTTACTCTAACAGTTCTAGCTCATGTGGTAAACTGAATGTGCAATTGTGTCCCACATGCAGTCCATTACATGAGCAAGTTGCAGAAATCTAACTCTAAACTAACTCACAGCCATCTAATCATTTTCCCTCACAGCCTTTTCTTTAGGGTGGGTAAACAGGTTGAGCCATTTACTTTTGTGGAATTCAAAATTCATGTTTTAAAATTTCTTGCTGGTGAGCATGTTTATACTAACTTCATTATTAGAGTTAGCTGCAGTCACAGGTATAACTGCGTAGTTTTCTAAGTTTCTACTGTTTCTTTTATCCTAATCCATATGTATATGAAAAGTCAAATTTAAAAAACTTAAGAGATATACTGATATATAATATGTCAGGAGATTACAGTAAATTGTTCTATTTTCTTTTTTTTTTTTTTCCTTCATCTTTTTGAGACAGGGTCTACCTAAAGCCCCAGCTGGCCTGGAACTCAGAGAGATCCTCCTGCCTCTGCCTCCCCAAGTGCTGCTGGGATTAAAGGCGTGTACCACCACACCAGGCTTAACTTTTTCTATTTTCTAAATGTACATTAATTCTGCAATTTCAAAACTGTTTAGAATGAACCTATAAAATCTTCATAACAAAACAAGGGCTTAGATGTACAATTTGATTTTGAGTAAAGGCATCTTAAGCAATTAACTGTTACAGGGAGTCAGGGCAAGACTGCAGGGTGGGAGGTAGAGTGGCCATGGCTTCTACTTACTGCTGCTGCAGTGGACCCACTTGTAGACCACCACAGAGGGGCATATCAACACCCAGCCCACAGTTTTCATTGAGCCTTTTTCACTTCTTTTTTTTTGAGACAGTGTCTTTCATATGCCAAGCTGGCTTCAATTTTCTTATGTAGCTGAGGATGACTTGGAACTTCTGATTCTCCTTGCTTCCCCTTCTCTGATTAGGGATCTAGGATTAGGTGTTCACCACCAGGACTGGCTTATGGAATGCTGGAGATGAAACTCAGGGCTTCCTGCACTCTGGGTAAGAGCTCTATCAATTAAGCTACACCCTTAGCCCCTTTTTAAATGTCCTCACCCTCCTTATTCAGATTTGTTATCTCCCTGTTTATTTTATTTATTTAAATTCCCTCTTCATAATTCTGCTAATACTTTAATTGCTATAACAAAGTCAAACAATTATAAATAGTATTCTGTTCTTTTTTAAAAAATATTTTATTTTACGTATATGAGTGTATTGCCTGCATGTGTGTCACCCATGTTGTGAAATGTCTGCGGAGGTCAGAAGGTGGAATTGGAATCCCTTGTAACTGGAGTTACGGATGGTTGTTAGCTGCCATGTGAGTGCTGGCATTCGAACTTGGGTCCTCTGTAAGAGCAGTCAGTGTTCTTAACCATCTCTCCAGCCCCAGTTTCTTTTCTAAATGAGATCACATCAGATTTTACTTGTATGGCCTTTTACATATTTCCAATTCAAGAGCTTAACAGAAAATTTATCCAGCACTGAGCTAGTTATATAAAATAAATGTTTGTTTCTTGAGACAAGGTCTCAAGCAAACCAGGATGACCATGAACTCGCTATGTAGCAGAGGCTGAACTCTTGATCCTTTTGCCTCCACTGTTCAAGTGCTGGGATTATAGCTGTGCACCATATACCATTCTTGGCTTATATAAAATAATTCTATAACATTTTTTAAAAACAAGACACAGAGAGCACTGAATTTTAAAAGAACTTCTAGTTACCAAAAGGCATCATTAAGATAAAAGGATAAATCACAAATCAGATTATATGATGGTTAGTTTTCATTGACAATTTGATTCTATCTAGAATCACCTGTAGAGTCTCAATGAGAGACTATCTAGATTAGGTTGACCTGATGGCATGCCTGTGGGGAACTGTCTTGATTATGGTGATTGATATGGGAACACCTAGGTCAAGAGTAGGCATTACCATTCCCGGAGTTTGGATTTTGGATTACAAAAACAGAGACAGTCAGCTGAGTACTGACAAGCATGCATGTGTCTATTCTCTCTGCTCTTTACTAGATGTGATGTGACCAGCTGTATTAGTTCCTGCTGCCTATGACTTCCTTGCTATGATGAACTGTAACCTGGAACTGTGAGATAAAATAAACCCTTTCTCCCCTAGATTGTTTATGTTAGGTATTTTGTCACAGCAACTGGAGGGAAACTAGGACAAATGATAAGGGCAAAGCATCTGTGACAAAGGCTGGTAATCACAAATAAGCAAAGAAGCTGAAAGGCTAATGTGATGATAAAATGAGGAAAAGAAACTCGAACATACATTCCAAAGAGGAGATGTGACCAGTAATCCTAAGAGTCATTTAATCTCGTTCATTATCAAGGAAGTGAAACCCAATGGTGCACGGTATGGTGGCAGCCTCAGGGGCCCCATAGGGCCTTTTCCCTTTGTACTCTGGGGTGCCACTTTGGTAGCTTGAAATCAGCCACACTGAGCAAAACTGTACCATGAAAAACGCTACAAACCAGGACTAGTTTTCAGTCATTACTATGTACACTAAGACACATATGCACGCGAGAACATAGTGGCTCGCTCTGTATTCCAGTAACATAGAAGGGTGAGGCAGATGGACTGTTGCCAGTTGGAGGCCAGCCTGGATGACAGACCAATAACCTGTCTAAAAAACAAAAGTAAAGAAAACAAAAAAGGTATACATGCACAATCTGATATTATTTTTGCTTAAAGCAAAAAGTAATAAGGGGCTAGAAAGATGGCTCAGCAGTTACGAGCACTGATTGGTCTTGTAGATGTGGGTTCAGTTCTCAGCATCCACATGGAAGCTAACAACCACCTATAATTCCAGTGCCAGGGGATCCAATACCCTCTGTGGCCTCCATAGATACTGCACACATGTGGTGCAGACACATATGTGGTGCCAACAGACATGCAGGAAGAACACTCACACACATAAAATAAAAATAAACCTTTAAAAAATGCAGAATTCAATCCATGGGTGGGAGGTAAAGGAAGGCAAGGGCTCAGGAGAGTACATGAGGCTGTGAAGGGAAGGTCAGCTCAGAGGTTCCATATTTTAAAAATAAATAACAAAGGTGGCCATGAATGGACCAAAATAACAGTGAAGTAAGAGAATTGTGAATTAAAGGCTATGATTTATCAACTTCTTTACTCAAGGGCAATTAAAAGTTTGTTCAAAATTATTTGGTTTCTTGATACAGGGTCTCACAATGTAACCCAGGCTTGCCTGGAACTTATTACAGAGACCAGGCTGGCCTGAACTCATGCTTAGTTCTCAAGACTTTTGTTTTGGCAAAGAAAGAAATAAACATACTGCCTACTCGCTTCTATACAGAGAAACCTCTCAACAGTTCATTCTGCCAGGTGCAGTGGCTGACATCTATAACCCCACCTGAGAAACTGAGGCAGAACTACCTAGAATTCCAAGTCAGCTTGGTTTCTTAGGAAACCAAACTCAAACAACACCTCCCCCAAACCTGAAACCAAACACAACTGATCGTTAAGTAATCTTAATCTATCTCCACTACGTATCTGAAGGAAGATATGTATGAGCTCCTCACATACTGCATGCAGCACACGTGTGTATGTACACTATTTTTACATTACTTTCCATCTGTGCCACACAGATGTCATCCACAGGCCTCATTCAGAATTGTTGTTCGAAAGACATGGCTGACGTGGGAAATCCAACATAGCTAAACAAACAAGAGTAATTCTAAAATCTACTGCTGACAAAATGGGGAAAGGCGGTAGTTCTGGGTATCAGAGCCTGCTATAGTTCAAGGGGCAGTGACATGAACATTCCCAGCCACTGCAAGTGCTTCCTCACCTAGCAATAGCTATCTGTTGTTAACAAGAGGCTAAATTAGTAAACTGCTAAGGTGATTTCCAGCTCTAAAACTAAGTCTGTAAATAAAAGCCAAGGCCTGCTTTTAAGAAATTTCATTAAAGACTGAAGAGATGGCTCAGCGATTAAGAACACTGGCAGTTCTTGCAGAAGACCCGGGTTTGAATTACAATACCCACATGATTCTGACCATCCATAACTCCAGTTCCAGAGGATCCAATGCCCTCTTCTGTCCTCCATGGGCTTGCATGATATGGGTGCACTTACGCACCTACAGGCATACACTTAATACACATAAAGTAAAAATAAATAAATAAATTTATTTAAAAATCCCATATTATAGACAAATATGTAGTCATAAGAACAAATTAAGGAATACTTTGCGGGGACATTACTGAAGATTGAAC